GATCGAGCTTAAAACATGGAAATATATTTCCATCATTCCTATTTAAACCTTTCCTGGCTTCTGTGTGGTTGCCTCCAAGGCCCTTCTCTATTAGGCCTGCTTCTCGACCAACTTGATGCCCCTTCATTTACAGCCTCACTTCTCTTTACCTATGTCAAAGGACAGGGGTCAGATGATGTTCTTTCAAGGGGGCAGTGGCACCTCCACTTGGCCTGCTTAACTTACACAGTTGAAAAGAATTCCTGGATGTGTCGGAAGCGAGGCACATTTAAGAACATCAAAGGTAAACTTACCCCAAAGGCTGGATGTGTATGGCCCTCACCTCTCAGTGCTGTGCCCAGGATTGAGCTCTCTGATTATATGTATGATTTTCCTGGCAAGAAATGTACAGGTTCTCAGGAAAGCTTCTTTGAAAATTAAATCCCATGACACTCATTTGATATTTGGGGTTCACAATGTTCTTTTTGGTTAAGTAGTCTAGCTGCAAGTCAGATGCAGGCATATTATGTAAATCTTTGAATCTGTTGACATTTCAATTGATTATGGTTTTGTTCTAGTTCATCTGTTATGCGCATATGCTGAAGGCTTTTTATCTACCTCAAGTGTCATGCTTGTAGATCTGGGTCTCCATCCTCCTTCACTTCCCAAGAGCCTACCTAGCTCATGACCACCACAACGTAATACACCAAGTTCTTTCTCACTGTTAGACTTTTGAAAGTTTTTTTCTTTTGTATTGGGGATTGAACCCAGGGATGTTTTACCACTGAGCCATATCCCTACCCTTTTTTATTTTAAAACCAGATCTTGTTAAGTTGCTTAGGGCCTTGCTAAAGTTGCAGAGGCTGGCTGTGAACTTGCAATTCTCAACTCACAACTCCTTCTGACAACAGTGGGCCGTTATCAGTTGTATCACCCTGTCCATTTCCTTTTCATGGTCTTTATCATTTCTTTTTGCCTGCTTGTGTGTGTCTTTTTCACTAAAGTGTAAACCCCTTGAAAGCAGGGATTTTTTCTTGTTCACTCCTAGGTTCCCAGAACACACATGACCTCAGGATAGAGGTGCTCAGTAAACATGTACAGGATGAATGAACAACAGACCTCTCGTCTGTTACCATTCATGTGACTTTTTTTTTCTGTTATAATGGAAGAGTTATAATTCATGGTTCTCCTATCCTTAGTGTTTAATTTATCCCTATATAATTTCTAGAAACTGGTGCTTTTGAATCCAAAAGGGATGAGATTTTGGTAATATTTACGTTACTGAGAAATTAAACCAAGATGTAAAGCTAAAATTATGTTAAATTATTCAAATATTTAATTGGAATAGAAATAACCATAAAAGTGTAAGAAAAATGCCTATCAATTTAATATTTCAATCTGCTTTTGTAGTGGGGAAAACTATCCTTCCTACAGTTGTCATGGAGGTCTGATCTACATACTTCCCAAGTACAACTCTGGCCCATGTATAACGTAAACACTTGAGAAGTTGAATGACCAAATACTTGCCTAACTGGAGTATGGTTTTCTTGACTTTCAGGCCTAGGTGGAAAATTATAAATGCCAGGATGTTTCACAAAGTTTAAATGTATGGGTTTGTCTTTACTTCTGGCTCACTATATTTAGAAGCAAGTAGATCTCTGTACTGTAAAAATAATCCTTCAAGAAAATCAACTTAAATGCATTTTTGAAAATTTTTAGATCAACACTCATAATAGGCCAGACAGGTCTTGCTCCAAAAGGTACTGTGTTGTTGGGGAATATTAAGAAGTGGAGCTTAATCTAATTATATATGTATTGTCTAGTAATTTTACCTTTTGCTTCTTACAGTTATTGGTGCCCATGTTGAATGATGTAGTTTAAATGTCTTGAGTGTGCAATGATTCTGTACCTCTCCTCAGAATATTCTGAGCCCATAAGCTGCAGGTGTTATCCAAGTTGACAAATGGTCGTCCTTTACTAAGGACAGAAAAAGCTTCTTGTTTGTGAATTTGTTAATTGTTCTGTGTGGTTTTATTGTAAATATTATAAAATAGACACCCACAGAATTTTTTGTTAAAATAGATTAATGCTAAATTAAAGTACTTGGCTATGTTTTCATAGTGTAAGTAAGACTGAGTTTTCTGTTGAATTCCATCCAACTCTTTGTAAGACTTCATATTCTCTTTTTATACTTAATGCTACTTGTATAGCAACACTGAAAACATATCTGTTAGTGGAATTCTTAAACTAATTTAGCTAACTAAAGATTCTAGATTTTGTTCAATTATGGAATACCTTAAATAAGTCATTATATTGCTGATAAACTCTTACCAGTATAATGGAAGAGCTACCTAAATAAATAAACATACCTATTACTGTTTAAAAAGCAGAGATAGCTTTTAGGCATTGGAGCATGCCTTGAATATGTATGAAGTAAATTTGATGTATTCCTCATATCAAACTGGAATGTCACATTTTGTAACAAGTCTGTGTTTATGCCAGTGTTCCTTAGTCCAAGAGCACATTACGGGCTAAGGTTTCAAACATATATTTGTGGGAAGTCAGTAGGCAGAATGCCATACAGTTTAATCTGTAGTCTCCTTGCTTTTTTGGTGTTGGTTCTGGGCAATGAACCCAGGGGTGCTCTACCACTGAGCTACAGCTAAATTTTGCTTTGAAACAGTGTCTAAGTAAGTTGCTCAGGCTGGCCTCAGCCTCCCAAGTCACTGGGATTACAGGCATGTTCAGCTATTCGCTTTTTAAAAAATATATTTATTTTTTAGCTGTAGTTGGAYACAATACCTTTATTTTATTTATTTATTTTTATGTGGTGCTGAGGATCGAACCCAGGGCCTTGCACGTGCTAGGCAAGCGCTCTACTGCTGAGCTACAACTCCAGCCCAGCTATTCACTTTTTTTAACAGCAAGATAGTCTTGAGTAAAAAATAAAATGCCAAATGCTTTTCTGAGTCCAGGATACCTGAAATAGAAGTTGAACCTGTTCAGAGCTGCCTTGATTCAGAGGATGGATGTGCCTATATGAAAAGACAGTGCTATAGGACTGTAGATCTTAGCCATCTGGTGTCACCGGGAGATGCCAAGACTCCTCTGCCTGGGTGACCAGTAGGACAAGACTATTTTGCTGTGACAAGTCCTGGGGTGGGGGCTGGGAACTAGGATATTAGGTTTTATTTTAGTGTGAGTTCATGCAATGGCAGGTAGAATTTTTCTCCTCAAGAGTATTAAGTTAACCAGGGTATTGAAGCAGGTTTAAGGCATTTTGCATACTAAGGGTTAAATGAAATCAAAACAGTTCATTCTAAAAGTAAGTTAAGTAAGACCCACAAGGCTAATGTGAATGGCCATAGTGTGATGAAACTGGACTCACAAATATCTAGTAACTGAATCTAAAGAAACAAGCTGTATTTTCTCCCTGATAGTATAACAAAGGGTATGTTAGTAGCAAATTATTTATATAAAGCTATCTATATTCTTTACAATGAAATTTGAAAAATGGACATAACATTATTTAACACACATTTTATGTATGGATAAGTTTAACTGTACAGGAAAAGTCATGTTATAAGAATCTTCTTTTGCTTTTTTTTTTTTTTTGTATTGGGGATTGAACCCAGGGGTGTTTAACTACTGAGTCATATCCCCATCCCTTTTTAAAATTTTTTTATTTTGAGGCAAGATCTGACTAAGTTGCTCAGGGCCTCGCTAAGTTGCTGATGCTGGCTTTGAACTTGTGATCCTCAGCCTCTTGAGTTGCTGGGATTACAGGTATGTGATTGTACAATTTTTAATGGTTTGTTACTTGGGACAAGATCTATTCGAGGATTCAGACCATGATGGGAACTAGCTCCACAAACAGAAAACCACATTAAACAAAGCTGACGGTCCAAAAAATGCAGGCCATGAACTGTTTTTTTTTTTTAATATCTATATAAAAAATAACGAGCAATTTACAGATCTCTTTCTCTAATCAGAACCTCATGTATATATAAAGGTACTGTACATATATAAACATTTACAACCAGTACATCCATATTTTGCTCAGCATTCCAAGGCCACATTGCTAAGTCAGTATATAATCAGTACAGTGACAAGTTACTTAGGAAGAGCCACATCAAACTGACAACATATGACATCAAATTTATGTCACAGTTAACAATAAAAATAGGATTTTTTGTCACTAATTGTGGACTATAGGGAAAATAAATCATTTCTGTGGTACTAAATTCTTAGCATTTATCAAGCCTCCTAACTTTGCTCTATTCAAGTAGTTACAATAGATGGTGAATATAGTTCTGGATGAAAGGGGATTTCAGAAGGCTCACTCTGGGAAGCATGTGTTATCTACAGGGGCTGATACAGTTGTTACATTAAAGAGTTTCACAGTCAGACTCGTAGAGGGAAGGGCCTGGACGTAATGTGTTTCACAACAAGATGAACTCAGGGTGACAGAAAAAGTGTGTTCAAACACTCCATGAGCGTCTTATTCTGAGAGTGTGCCTGTATTTTTAGATGCTACTGAATGCTGCTTCAGGGGACTGAAAAACTTGGGTCTATTTTTTGGAGTTAAACTCATCTCTAACTTCCAGCAAACATCTTTAGACTTTTTAAAAAGAACTCTGAAAAGTTTCACAAATCAAGCAAACACTTAGTCTCCCTTTTTTGTTTTAAAGTATGTTAATGCAGCTAAAAGTTAAAATTAGGACCCAGCACATACTGTTTACCATATATGCCCTGACTTGCTGGCCACACAGGTTCTTTGAAACGCCTGAACTTGCATATCTGCCAGATGAGCTGGTACTTTATCTGGTAATAGACTATGAAACTGGTTTCATAATGACATCTTTTGCACAATCTAATATTTGACTCTTCAAATATATATTATGTTTTAAAGACTAATGACTTTAGTAATAGATACAACCCAAATATCCAGAAATAGATAGTTGCTAGTTTTCTTTGAAAAGCTTAATAAGCAGTATTTCCACATGCTTTTTTGCTGGGAGGGGGAGGGATAAGGGTGACCTGAGATGCTGTAACTACATCAGGGTTGGATAGGAGGTGAACTCTTGCTTAGAGAACTTCCTCATTTTGAACATTCAATTTATGTAGGTAATATCTTTAACAGTTATTTGGAACACCTGTCCATCCAAATTAAAGTCATGAGAAAGCATTAATATCTGACCTTTTTTTTTTTTTTTTTTTTACAGTAGTGATGTTTTGGAGTTTCATTTTTAAATTGGGACATCATTGGTAGCTGTTACAAGAGGCAACTGCCGTCTTTAATGATGAGCTAACAATCTCTTCTTCAAGGACTCAAATATTTCTCTCTGTAAACATGCAACATGCTATTTGAGAACATCAACTTCCAAGCCAAACCTAACTTTTTTCATTACTGTGAAAATATCTGAATGAGAAAGATAAAACAGATATGATACAGCAGGTAACTTGGCACAAATACAGTGTGAGTTGTGACCACGTTAATATCAACATATATCATTTGTTCAGACACTCATGAAGACGAGCCAGGCAGCCTGAGCAGATCATGTCAGAGGAGTGCCTAGATGCAGCTCCTTCCTGAGTGTGAGGGAGGGCAGCCAGGGAAGGCTGGTTCTTAGCAATCCTAAAGGCCCTTCATGCAGCTTAGGTAGCTCGATGCTCAAATTAAAATGTATCTAAGTATTTGACTTCTTGAAGGGGGGCAAAAAAAAAATCTTTTGAGGTGGGGAAGGGGGTAAAGTGCTCTTTCAATTTGGTTTTCACCAACGGTCACAGCCGTTTCTCGGCCACACCAGCAGTGCCTGTGACTTTCTTTGCACTTGGCACTTTCCAGGGCCCTGGAGTTATGGGTGCTTTCTTAACTGGAGAGCTACTCTCAGGTTTGACCCTTCCACCTTCTTTGCGTTTGTCAGCCGCCTCTAGATCTTTCCCTTTGTGATCATCTTCAGGTTCCTGCTTCAGCTTTTTTTCTGATAGTTGGCCATTTTCTCCAATTTTGTCTTTACCAGGGCGCGTTTCTCCCGAGGTTGCCTGCCTTCCTCTTTCATTTTCAGACCCTACCCCACCTGCAGTGTTACCCTTCTTTTTGGATGGAAGAGACTTTTCATCCATTCTCTTGCTTTTTTTCTCTGGAGACCTTGTTCTATTTTTTTCCAGTGGACTCTGCTTCAGCTCTTTCCTGATGACACCTGATTTTTCCTTCCCATCTGGGATCTGTTCAGTATTGTCGCCAGCGTGGCCCGCTAATCTTCGACTCTCACCCTCTAATAACTTGGCGCTAGCATTTGCTGGGTCTTTGCCTTCTTCAAGTTTTTGCTGCTTCTTTGGGCTAGAAGATCGTCCTCTGCTTTTTCTGCACTGGTTCTGTTCAGAACCTGCCTTGGTGTTAATCGGACAACTTTTATTCTCCCCTTTCCTAGGGCTCAGTGATCGATCTCTGGGTTGCCTTCTGGGGTCATTTTTTAGAGGCCTTGGATTTTTTTCCATGTGTTCCTCTAACTGACGATTAGCTGGCTTTTGGGGACTAGCAGATCTACCTCTTTGTGTAACACCATTTTCTATTTTCAGATTTTTCTTGTTCCGGTGCCCAGGACTATTGGTTGAATCCCTCTTGTTCACATTTTTCTGGAGAAGAGACTGATGCTTTATTTCAGGCTGATTTTCATATAAAGTGCTATTCTTTTCAGGTATAGTGTCCTTTAATTCTTCTGCCTTTTCACATATCTGAACTCTCGTTAGAGATTCTTCAATTACTGGTACGTGACACTCTTCAAATATGGAAGCAGAATGTAAAGATGGGGGAAATGGTGACTGTTCATCATAGATCACATTGGAAGATGAAGGATTATTAATATCCCAATCACCTAAAAAAGTGATTTGAATGGAACATTATTACATTTTAGAATTATATACAGGAACAATAAGTTTGAACTTTGACAGCCATTTGGGTTGTACTGACTGCTTAGACAGCCTGAGGATGAGTATGTTACCCAGCTTATGTTTATGTATCTCTCTGTAAAGACAGATGTGTATAGACATCTGTACATGGAGGGTAGACTGTTTATGTATATAAAATAACAGTTATTATTATCATAATATACTTATCATAATACTTATATTATTATGTAAATTCTTTATTTATAAAGCCCAGTCAAACGAATAAAAAAACTGGACCAAATTACATGGTCCTAAAAGCTTACTGATTAAGGTGTTATCAATGGGTATTACTTAATGATATGTCAAAATCACTAATATAAAGTAGACCCAATGAGAGTGAGGTTCATGGGCATTTGCCAATAATTTTCTTGAATTAAGCTGTCAAATTAAATTAAAATGTCAAAAGGAGACTGCAAAGGGCAGAAGATAGAAATAGATGTATTTAATAGCATCTATTTTTAATTAAAAAGAAAACAAAAGAAGAAAGTGATTTATAAGACATGCAAATTTACCAAGTCTTTTTAAGGAAAGACCAAGAAAAGCCCTGAAAGCCTTAATGTTGCTCAGGTTTCACGTAGGAGCACAGACCGGAAGGAGCCAAACCTGAAGAAGGAAGAGAAAAAGCCTAGGACTATGTGGAAAAAAAAAAAAAAATCAGCGCAGTTAGCAAAGATGTCACTGGGAATGTATGATTTACAGGCAGATGGTGGAAGGTAATACAGTCAGAGAATCATAAGCTGGAAGGGCCTGGAGGAGGTCATGTCTACACTCATCCTACAGAAGCTCTATGACGGGGCGGGGAGCCAGAGGAGACGAGTACTAGGTGTGGTACTGAGTTTAGGATCATGCACTCACAAAATAATTAGTGATTCTCAAGTCCTGTGACAGTTCAAAAATATACAGGGAAATCGAGGAAGTTTAGGATCAGCACAGGAGTATAGACGTGGTTCTTGGGTCCAACTCCGTGTCTCCAGGTAGGGCTATAGCAACTTGTTTCAGACAGGTGACCAGAAAAGCCAAAGGGCTATGGTATTTACTCATTTAGAGACAAAGTTATCTTACTATAAGGAAACCAATAACATTTGTTGGTGATATGTAATTAGCCAAGGCAGGGAGATGGCTGGGATCTTCTGAAGACATTTAAAATGTTTTTCATGACATTTAAATTGTTGGCTTCTAATATGCTCATTTCTTACAGGCATTTCTCTACAAAAGCACTGTTTTCTGATGAAATCAATCTAAAATAGATCTTATACTAACAAATGTCCTACTTGATGTCACTTGTTTTATAATAATTCTTCTTTTAATGGTTCTGGTGTTTAACTCTGATTTAGCCAGTAAAATATCCATCCCCTCCAAATAAATACTCCTCTGCTTCTGCTGCCTGTTTCCTAATACACGTGTTAGCTACCCATAGACCTTTAGCAACTTTACTTACCATGGTCAGGTATCAAGCCTGTTCCTGGTCTCAAAAGAAGAAGAACTTTATTCCCGCCAGCTTGAATGAGCTCAATTGCTCGAGTGTGTGTGATGCCTTGTGTAGGTTCCCCGTTGATTTCAACAATCTGGTCGCCAACCTAGACAGGGAATATGTACAGGAACATCATGAAACTCTGTATCCCCCTTCAAGTTCTGCTTTTGCTAATTTTAGAGCCCTTCAACCTTGCTGGTGACATTGCTATCACGATAGAGGTGATGTGTGAACAGCTGGTACTAGTAGAAGGGGACAATGTACAATGTTCTTTATTGACTGTATAAGAATCCTACATTGGAAATTTATATATGGCTACTATGTCAGGATGTGGGCATCTTGAAATCAAGAAACAAAGTCTGAGTTTTCCCTAGCATGTGTGAGGCCCTGGTTTGATCCCTAGAATTGAAAAAACTGTTTTCTTCCATAAGATAAACAGAAGAAGTAGTGAAGTTCTACAGTAATTCAAATGATACCCCAGAGCTACATTTGCATGTCTTTCTTCTTCTGTGTGTGTGGTTCTGGGATTGAAGCCAGGGTCTCCTGCATGTTAGGTCAGTGTGCTCTACCACTGAGCCCCACACCAGCCCCACGAGCCTCTATGGGAATGAGGAATCTGGGAAGGGTATTTTCAAACTGGAGCTGAATCTCAAATTATCTCCTAGAACCTAGGAAGATATCTCCCTATTCTTGACACCTTTCCTAGAACTACTTATTACTCTTTGTGCTACCACTGTACAGACATGAGGCCTTAGCTAAGTGACACATTTAGAGTAAAATTCTAAAAAACAAACAAATAGATGAATATGAATAGTTACTTAAAAGCAATTACTGGCTTTCACTTAATGACTTTAGTTTAAAATCATTTCCCTGGAAAACAAAACTAAGGATCAGAAAAAGATGCCCCAGTACCATTGCCATATATTAGGAATGTCTTGTTGTAAGAAAAATGAAAAATATGGAAAGGACTTGATTAAAGCTAATAATGGTAGTGGCATTTAAAAAAATATATATTTGCAGATGAACACAATACCTTTATTTAATTCATTTATTTTTTGTGATGTAGAGGATTGAAACCAGTGCCTAACGCTTGCTAGGCAAGTGCTGTCCCTCTGAGTTACAACCCCAGCCCAGTAGTGATTTTTTTAACTTTTTTTTGGTACAGGGGATTGAACCCAGGGGCACTTAACTATTGAGTTATACCTGCAGTGGGCCCCCCTCCTTTTYCCCCTAATTTAAATTAGGGTCTTGTTAAGTTGCTGAGGCTGGTTGCAAATTTGGTACTTTCCTGCCTCAGCCTCCTAGGTCACTGGGATTACAGGTGTGTGCCACTGCACCTGGCAATGGCAGTGATCTTAGGATCTTTTTTTTTTTTCATTTTTTTTTTTTAGTTGTAGGTAGGCACAATACCTTTGCTTTATTTATCTTTATGTTGTGCTGAGGATCGAACCCAGTGCCTCACATGTACTAGGCAAGTGCTCTACCACTGAGCCACAACCCCAGCCCCTTAAAATCATCTTTACGGTGACATGCAACTGAAAGGTTTGGCTTCAAAACAGAATAACTGAACAATGCAATATCACCAAAATTTCAAAAAGAAAACATTCCAAATACTTGTAAGAGCTAAAACGATCCAGAAGCAACACAGAGAAAGGGACTCAGTAATTACTGAAAGAAGTCCACAGAACAACTCGACCTCCAGCTAAAGCTTGGCACAGCAGTTGCGAAGCTGGACTTTGGAGTCAAAAATCTGTGGTTCAATCCTGGCTCCACTTCTTTTTAGCTCAGTGGTCTCATTTTTCCTCATTTGTTACATGAGGATATTAGCACCTACCTCCTGGGGTTGTTGGGAGAGTTAATGAGATAAAACACCATTGCATACCACCAAGTAAATATAAGTTGTCAAGTTACTGTAAAGTACATTTTTAGTGTGATTTAAATGCAGATGATATCTATGCAATTCAATAAAATAGAAAAATAGAGTAAGAGTTTAAAAAAATTTTTTTTAGTTGTAGGTGGACCCAATATTTTTATTTATTTTATATGGTGCAAAGGATCGAACCCAGTGCCTCATGCATGTGAGGCAAGCACTCAACCACTAAGCTACAACCCCAGCCCCAGAGTAAGAATTTTGTTCCATATTTATGAAAAGGAAAAAAGAGACGTCTCACTCTTGAAGAACAGATATCAGAAAAAAAGATTGGTAAATTTGATATTGCTGTTTAAATTGCTGTGGTTTGAATTCCCAGAATTCATTTGTTGGAAATTTAGTCCCCAAAGCCACATGTTAATTGGAAGGTGGGGGACCTTTAGGAAGTGGTTAGGCTCTACCTTCATAAATGGATTAATCCACTTAAAGGTTAATGGATTATTGAGGGAGTAGTGAGCTTTTTTGGCATGCTTGCTCTGTCTTGCCAAGTCACTGTGCATCCCCATCAGCAAGAAGGCCTTCACCGGGTATGTTCCCTTGGCCAAGGACTTCTAAGAAATTCCAAGAATTTCTTTTCTTTATAAATTTTTCAGTCTCAGGTATTCAGTTGTAGCAATAGAAAACAGACTAAGACATATACATAAAAGGAAAAGAACTTAAAAAAATCAAGAAACCAAAATAAGAAATTAAGGATAATAGAATGGAGAAAAATACCAACAAAACACTGTCCAGAATATATAAGTGAAACAAGAGCCAATACCTAGATTTCCCTTAGTATGTGATGAAAGAATCACTTTCATGAGGAAATACAGGTTATAAGTTAGCACTATATATATAATCCTGTTGATAATTAAATGAAAATTAGATAATATTTGAAGTATGCTTTGGTTATGATATAAAATGTGATTGAGGTTATAGTTAATTACAATCATATTCTTTGGCTTAGACTGTCTAAAACAAAACTATTCTTTTAGGACATAAATAAAAAATAAAACTTGTAATTGAATGGATTTGCCACCAGGTGTCATTTTTGTTTTAACTTTAAAACCAAATTAGGGCGACAGGGGTGAGCTGTAGCTCTAAGATTTATAGGCCCACAGATAGGGAGATGTCGTGCACTAAACTACACACAGGTAAAAAACAAGGTACCTCTGAGAGGGAAATGGAGACATTCTAATGAAATTTTAAGTTAAACTATGACAACGAATTTGGAAAAACATCTTTTTAATAAAGATTCAAGTTCAGTTTTATATTATTGAAAAATAAAATTGTAAGGAACAGAGGAAAGAGTAAAGATAGAGAAATGAAAGAAAGAAATGAAATAAAAGAAGAAAAGTAAATTGGGCGTGGCATGGTGCTGCGTGCCTATAGCTCCAGGCATGGGAGGCTGAGGCTGGAGGATTTTGAGCTCGGGAGTTTGGGGCCAGCCTGGGCAACATAGTGAGTCCCCATCTCAAGAGATAAGTAGGAAGAAAGGGGTATAAAGAATGTTTCTTTTAAAAAAATAGTCTTTTAGTTTTAAAAAAGTATATATAGTTTTAAAAACAATACTGACTGAAAAATATTAAAACTCCAGAACAACATTTCTAACCCATGTCTTACACTATCTACAACCTGTTAAGAAACTGTGAAATTAAGTGAAATCCACAAGGACATAGCCCCGGCCTGACAGATGCCAATATTTTCTTATATTCTGGGGCAGACCTGGGCCTAACAGTTAATAGCATATTTATTTTCAAATTTTTGAATTTATTTTTTAAAGAAAAGTTGATTTAGTCATGAGATTCTAAAGTTTCTGCTCATCTTTAATGAATGACATTTTTTAGGATGACAGTGACTGCTCGAAGGTCTGTTTGCATTTTATTTGGTAAAATCATGAGGGTCCTATTTGGAACCAATATTTAAAAAAAAATTATATTCCAATCTATCATTTAAGTGAATTTTTTTTGTGCCACTATATATACAATAGGAGATTTAAAAAAAAAAAACCATTTAAGGGGCTGGGGATGTGGCTCAAGCGGTAGCGCGCTCGCCTGGCATGCGTGCGGCCAGGTTCGATCCTCAGCACCACATACAAACAAAGATGTTGTGTCCGCCGAGAACTAAAAAAAAAATAAATAAATAAATATTAAAATTCTCTCTCTCTCTCTCCTCTCTCTCTCTCCCCCTCTATCTTTAAAAAAAAAAAAAAAACCATTTAAAACATGCCAACAGATGTGAGGGGGGATAGGAGGGGAGGGGCAGGGGCAGGGGAGGGGGGAGTGGAAGGGTGAAGGGAGAGAAGAGAATTGGGAATGCCAGCAATGAGTTGCCATCTCTATAACAGTGGCTCAAGGAGAAGGCACCTGAGACTACACAGCTGAGGAGTGGCAGACCGGAGCTTTGGTTCTTGGCCTCTTGAATTTCCAAACCCATGCTCCTCACTACTAGACTGTCTCTGCGTGAAGGTGACCTGAGGTTAGATGCAGCAGCTCTGGATATGCTGTACTGAGTGCATCTGGCCGTTAGTCCTTCTGCTTGTCCTGAACACTCCGCTGCTCTGCTCTGTGGCTCTGCATTCTCACCCTTCCCTCTTGTCTTCTCTGAACCACTAATCACAGGCCTTGCTCTGAGTTCTGCCCTTGCCCACTGCTCTTTACATCTTCATGACTGATTTTATCCACCACCAGGGCTTCAACCACCACCCTTGTCTTCACCGTCGCCTTTCACCTGCTCAGCCAGCTGTACCTCCACCTCCACAAGACGAACCGACCTCATCAGCCTGCCCAATTCTGTCTCCCCTGGTCTCCCTAATGGTTTTTCACAGGCAGACTCTTCCTTCCTCTCATCCCTCCCTCATTTGACACATGCCAGTCATCTAGGTTGGTCCTTTCCTCACTGACAGGTGATCTCCTATGCACTTTTTTCCCCCTTTAATCTTCTGTCCAAAAGGTCACCACTCAGGTTGCACTCCCACCACCACCCGGCCTGCGTGAACTGCAGCCCCTTCATCCTCCTGCAGCCGCAGATACACTCACTTCAGCAGCACATTGCTAAGGGGAAACTCTTGGCTCAAAAGGCTTCCGGGCTTCTAGAACCTCTATACTATCGACTCATCCTACTTTTATGTTCTCATTTCCCTCCATTCCCCTATGTACCTCCTAAGGAACTCCACATGTGAAGTTCCCTAGACATGACTTACACTTCCTTRGTATAACTCTGTTGCTCAATGACAGTGCTTTTGGTCCTCAATCTCCCTATTGAAATCCTGTTACCTTCCAGAATCACCTATTCTATGCAATTCTCTATTCACCTCTTTGAACTTGGGCACTTCTTTGGTCATTTGGAGGATGGAAGGAGTTACACTGGTTTTGGGTTATCCCTTTTCCCAACTCTTCAGTAGCAGGCATAAAGCCTTGGTTAGAGCAAACACTACATGACTTGGAAGGTTCAAGAATGCCACCAACTAGAAGCCTTTCCTAGTTATTGTTAGTATGCTACCCAAGGATCATTTGCCCTTCTTAGTAAAAGTCTTTTCTTTTTTCTTCAAAAAAAGGATCCCTTTTCCTTGATGCATACTGGTAGCAGATGGAGGAAAAGTTCTCTTRGGCAGTGAGTTATGGTTGTCTAATACTGAGAATGTTAACTGAATACAATGAATTAACTTTTTTAAAAAAATTGAAGACACTAACATCCAGAGAAGAAGGAAAAATGCAGATCTCTGTGCAACCTGCTCTGCAGGGCCCTCTACCCAGCCAGCGTTTCAGAGTCAAGAATAAAACCTGTGGTGGAACACTATTGCCGGGAGTTCCAGTCCTTCAGATAACGGTTGGGAGAGCCAGGATTTTCCACCTCTATAGACAGCTAAGAGGGAAAAATTTCCTGGGCTTACTGTTTCTTGGGAGAAATTGATGATTCTGTTTTATCCTGGCTTTTCAAGAATTTTAATAAGATGAAAGTGTATGCATTAATCCATTTGCCCTTAAATGTTGATTATAGAAATAATAAATGATTCTTCTCTTTGACCAAGGTTGAGAAGGTCAAGCAGTGTAACCATGACTAGCACAGCAGCTGAAGGGAACATGACTTTAGGAAAATCCTGCTTCTCAGATTCAAGAGGTTTCTGTGTTCCTTTTAAATCAATTTTTTTCAGAAGTTTCCAGTCTAGAGCCAGAAGCAAAGGTTGCAGACAGAAGCCAACTCACATGAATTCTGCCGTCTTTGATGGCAGGCCCGTCCTCAGCAAGGCGAAGGATAAACAGCCCCATGTTGTATTCCTTTCCCCCACGAAGGCTGAACCCAAAGCCCCGGGGGCCTCTTTCCAGCTCTACTGGGTAGCAACCAAGGCTCTGGAGGGAAAGAAGTACGAGCAAAACAAGTTCTGTGGACTGCTTTATTTACATTTTGAAGAAAAATTACTTTAATAGCTGGGAGAAATGAGTTACACTCTTGATATGCATTTCTATTATCATAAGGAAGGAATGTAAGTTTTATAAACACAGCCTAAATCAATCTGAAGATGACACATTCTCTTCTAATTGGTCAATGTGCAATAGAACAATGTGCAACCAGAAAATAGAATTTTAGAAAGTGCTTCCTTTTAGTAAATCTTGACAAATTTTCCTGAAAAAACAAGCAAACAAACAAAAGCCCCCTCCATAGCTACACTATGTGCTTCCAAGTACTTCACTAAAGGATCAAATTTCTTCCACTAGAGGGTAAACTTTTGCTTGTCTTTATATCCTTTCAAGAAGCTGAATAAACACATAGGAGGTCGACAAGAATTAGTAATTTTGGAAACAAATTTATCTGAACTGATTTGCAATAAAAAGTCACTAGGTCAGTGATGCAGCAACTCAAAATCTCAGTTTACACGTGGGGCTTTGTTTACCTGATTGTGCCGACTGCCTACAACTGAAATCACTGCAGTGTCAGGCTGTGCAAGGTGCTTGTGGTCAGACCACGAATGTCTGTAAGAAGCAGAGACATCTTTTCCAATTTCACCTTCTAGGGCACTTCTACAGGAGAGAAAATAAGTCACTCTATAGAGCAAGACAATAAAAATAGTCCACAAGGAAAAGCAGACTCATTTCTTTTCAAGCCAACCCTCGACATTCTCCCCCTGACCAACCCCTACAAAGACAGACTGTCTACAACCAGAGAGATGCAGGGGAGACCTGGTCGTTAAGTTAACTTCAGCACAGCTTGAAGTCTGTGGGCATCCCATTTCTTTCGTATCAGTGTAGTTTATACCAAGGACAACTGCCCTCAGGTAACTGAACCAGAGGGCAGACAAGTTGACCTTGTCTCAGTCAAAAATGTGTCTCTTGTAATCCCAATGCCTGGCAAGAGGCTGGATTTCCAGAAATCCAGTTTTTGTTTTGTGACTAATATTTTCAACAAAAGAAATATGTATAAAATTCTGGCCTGCTTTGCTCCAGTGGTCTATGAGGACAGCAATCCATGTGGGCCTGGGCTTCCCTACCAGCATTATTAGCCTGACCAAGAATACCAGAGCCTGACTCACTGGGCAGGTCCAGATGATCATGGCCTGCTTGGGATGTGACTGGAAAGGGGAAGAAGGTACTGAGGGGTGAGGGTGGGGCAGAGGGAAGGTCCTGAGGGAGGAATAGGCAAGTTTTCATTTTGACTCAATAGCTGGCTTCTGCGTAACTGCATGGGGTGGGGTGGGGTTGGGGTGGGGATTGTGAGGAAAATCTTAGAAGAACAGCCCCACCTGTCCCCAGGTATGTGGTTGGCCAACTGTGACTGTCCCATGGGCCTGTGCTGCAGTGCTGGGCTTTGCCTGGCAGAGTTTGTTCCTGATGGTGGACCATGATGCTCTGTTTAAATAAGAAAACAACAAAAATAAGAATTTGAACATAAAAATGTGAAGGTCAAGTGGATCTGTGAGAATAAAATGATAACAATGGTTACAGCTTTACCAACTTGGGTGACTAGCAGGAACCAGCACTGTTAGCTGTCTGCAATTAGAACTTTACCATCTTTTTAACATCTTTCCCCTGTGGCTTTTGGCTAATGTTTACTTTCAAAAGAATAGGAGCCATAGTCCTGCTTCTTGTTTTCACCTTGTTTTGGTCACTTGTACAATGTAAAAAACAGAAATGCACATATTCAAAGGGATCTATGCAGAAGACAGAGCTCCAGAACTGTCTAGCTGCCCATTCGGTAGGTTTCCAGAGCACGCTCCTCTTAACTGGTAAGCCATTCTAGGCAACAAAGCAAGGTCTTGGGAATGCTGGGACACAGGCCAGTCTGCAAACTACACATATATCTTTGAACATATATTTTAACATAGGAGCAGTTACTTTGCCCGACACTGAGTACCAAAGATCAGAAAATCATCCTGAGGTTGACAAATGTTTATATAGATTCTACTGCTTTTGTTTTGTAAGAATTTAAGTGAAAAGGTCTTAATAAGAATACAGGAGAAAAAGTAACATTTGTTTCTGTACCATTCCCAACAGCTCTGGATCCCCTGCTGCTCTTTGAAGGCGGACTGCATAGCCAAGCACAGTAATAGCTTGCATTCAGAACTAGATAGAAGTCATGGGAAATGACAGTTAAAAGATTCTTAAGACTGTCACACATTTTCTTTTATTTTTTTCCTTCAGTACTGGGGATTAAACAGGGCTTTGCATGTGTTAGGTAAGCCCTGAGCTATATCCCCTGCCCTTTTTATTTATTTATTTTTTTTAATTTTGAGAAAGGTTCTCACTAAGTTTCCCAAGCTGCTCTTGAACTTGTGATTCTCCTGCTTCACCCTCCTGAGTTGCTGGAATTACAGGTGTATGCTATTACACCTGGCTTTTTACTCTGTACAAATATTAAAGTGTGGGATATTTAAAATATCAAAGACATGGAGCATAGCTTAAATTAAGACCATAAACACTGGAGCAAGATAGACAAGTGGTGTTTTTTTTTTGTAATTTTTTTTTAACCTGTAGATGGACTCTATCTATCTATCTATCTATCTATCTATCTATCTATCTATCTATCTATCTATCTATCTATCTATCTTGCTGAGGATCGAACCCAGTGCCTTGCATGTACTAGGCAAGCACTCTACCACTACAACGCCAGCCTGCCGCATTCTGGCTGGACACAAATCACGAGCAACTCAAGGAGGAACAAACTTTATTTCCGAATTCCCCCCGAAGGCCACCCACACGGCCCTCTCAGGGACACCACACACCAACCAGAACTCCCTCCACCGGAACTTCACCAACCAACACCCGAGGGGAACTCCCCAGGAATCCCGCGAGAACTCCAAAGTAGTGGGCACCTAAGGCGGACAGCAGGGGTCTATGTACAATTGAATACACAGCCTGTTTCAATCCAGCATCATCCAGTCACAGCAATTATAGACAGCTTAACTTAATTATCAGCATCTTAATGGCTCACCTCTCAACCATTACTTCTGGCAAAATGCCAGGGGCCATTCTGACTGGCTGTAGCTCTCAGCATCCACCAGCCCACAAGATACACAAGGTTTAAGCCATCATTTACTAGCTGTGTGTTCTTGAGCAAGTTAGTTACATACTTATATACTCTGCATTTCTAATCATCTCAACTATAAAAGGGGAATACGGTTACCTCATGGAGTTTATAAACGTACATGCTTAGAACAGTGCCTGGCAATATTCACTACACAAAGGTTCCTATTATAACTATCATCATTCTTATTGTTGTCATTGTCATCACCAAAACAATGTCTCATTTGAGAATGCATTTCTCTTTAAGTAAGTATTCTGAAATATTTACCTTATTTACAATTTTTTCAATATGGAGGCCATTTTAGGTTACGAGAACATATAGAAACTGACACAAACAGATTATTGGAATAAAATGGAAATAGAGAAAGTCTGATGTTAAAGATAAGAAATATGAATGTCAGGAAGCAATTTCTACTGAGGAAGCTGAAACCCAGGCTTTATTATTGTATCACCATTTTATAGCTTGGATTAAGTTATTTCTCTTCAAAGTTCTGTGGGACAAAAAACACAGATAAATAATATATTTATATTTAAGAACTACTTACAACTTGGGGAAAAAGGTAAAAAGTGGCAGGAGGACAGAAAAATGGTATATGGTTAAGCCACAGGCCCCTGAGGATTCCTAAAGTGCTGTGGCTGCGGGTTTTGTGTGTCAACACTGATTTCAACTATGTGCTCCAGGTCTGGAGATGTAGGACCAATTCTTAGACCACAACTTATCCAGGGGGTAATATTTCCTCTTCAACATTAAGTATTCTAGCTATCATCTTGGACTTTTTTGGCAGGGAAGGTGGCTCTTTTTTTTTTTTAATATATATTTTTAGTTGTTGATGGACCTTTCTTTATTTTATTCACTTATTTATATGTGGTGCTGAGAATTGAACCCAGTGCCTCACAAATGACAGTGCTCTACCACTGAGCCACAACCTCAGCCCACGGGTGGCTCTTTTAAAGTACTGTTATCAAGAATTTTATTTTCCGAATTAACTTAAGGAGTTGCCTCCTAACTGGTCTCCCCGCACCAATGTGGCCTTCAATCTGCCTCCAGGACTCCAGTTTTAATACACAAATTCAAACATACCAACTGCCAACTATCTTGCTTTAAAAACAAAACAAAACAAAACAAAATGAAACAGTGCTTTTTGGTGTGTATAAGATACATCCAAATGTGTCACTGGCACTATTACCTTTTCACTTCACCTCCTGTTCAAAGTTTCCCCTCCTGAGATCCTCCCTGCCCTTAGGCACAGTCTTTACAGCACTTTTTGCTCTGTGCAGGAGTAGGACAAGGGCAGGATGCTGTTTCTCCTGTTAGAGGGCACCTCCTTGATTACACGAATCATACTTCTTATCTTTATGTTGTCCTCATCAAGGTTAAATAAAACTTCCTCCCATTAGTATTCTTTTAGTTTAGTCCTTCAACTCATGCTGTGTGGTTTCCCCAATTTATTTCTGTGTTATAACCTATTCCACTTCTCAAAGTTAAATATTTATTCTATGTCAAGCAAGCCTATATTTTCTTTGAATTTTATCTGAGAAGTCTCTAAATAGTAAAGCAATGGGGTAAGCATCTCTCTCAATAAATATTAAAATTCTCCTAGAATTTCTGTGTGTAAATACCTAAGTATATTTATATTATCAGAGGATAAACATGAAATCCACAGTTAAACTATAGCAAGAAACATCATAATGAATTGATAATTATATTTACCAAGAGTAAGAGGGGCTGGGGATGTGGCTCAGCGGTAGAGCACTTGCCTGGCATGCGGGAGACCCTGGGATTGATCCATAGCAACAAGAGTAAAGAGTAAAGAAGAACCCTATGAGAGAGCTTTCTAAACTACAAAACTCGGTTGAAGGACATAAGAGATGATCTGAAAAACCCGAGAAACATCCCATGCTCTTAGGAGGAATAATTTAATATTTAAAAATATAAATTCTCTCAAGGTTAATATATTTATACATTTTTAATATACCCCAATAAGGTTGGATGTTTTTTTGGAGCAGCTTAACAATCTGCCCTAAGATTTTATATGTAAAAGTTCAATGAATGTCCAGTTGATTTGGGGATAAGAGAGAAGGAAGGAGGGAGAGACAAAGGAAGAAAGAGAGATTTGTTCTAATAGATATAACAGAATGTATTATAAATTTATAGATAAATAATCATTTATATGTAATTTACATGTATTATATATGTATGTGTATACATATTTATATGTACATACACACACACACACAAATATATCTCATATTAGCCCAAAAACAAATAAGTAGAACAGAGAGAGCCTTGTGGACTCTTGTTTGTAGAGTAAGGTGATATGCAGGATGGATGGCAACATAAGTCAATGGGAAAAGGAAGTACTAGTTGCTGTGTAGGGAAACTAGCTCATAATAGGAATAAAAAATAAAACTGAATTCCTCTTAAAGCTATATGCAAAAGTCGGCTCCAGATGGCTTAAATCCTAAAGGCAATATGATAAATCTAATAGAAGTCAATGTTAGAGGAAATCTCTACAATGTGGGGCAAAATGATGATTTATCTTAAAACCTCAGAAGCTCAAGCCATATAGYAAAAAATAGGACTAATTTGATTACATTTAAGCTAAGAATCTTGGTCTAAGAAGGGACCCTGGTCAAAATTAACATAGAAATGACAGGAAGAGATATTTGTACTTTCTAAAAAAAAAAAAAAAAAAATGGAACTGGTGACTATGTAATTCACAAGGAATCCCTAAGTACCAACAAGAAAATGATAGAAATCCCAAAAGAAAAATGTCTGTGACATGAACAGGCAATTTACAAGGAAAAAAAAAAAATCCAAGCATGTGAAGAGCTGCTAAATTCATGGAAATTTTGGGAATTGAAAATTAAATGATGATGAGATAGTGCTTCTCCTACTCTCCGCTAGCAAACTCAGAAGCCGATAATGCCAAGCACTGGCTGGGATTTAAAGCTACAGGGAGGAATCCTCAGGGATTTGGTGGTGGAAGTAGAGATGGAGAAGAATCTGACAGTACTGAGTCAAGTTAAACACGTGGATACCCTTGCTCAAGCAGTTCCACTCCCAGGAATTTTCAGTCTTATAAGGTACATGCATGAGGATTTATGTCATAGGATTGTTTATGATTCTGTGGAGATGGAGGCAGTCTGGCTGTCTATGGGGGAGTGAGCAGCTATATGGGTAAATATACATTATGGAAGACTGACAAGTAGTTCAAGTGATCAGTTATGTTCACCCAGCAATGTGGATAAATCTTAAGCACACAATGCTTTAACAACTAAACACAAACAGCCAAAGAAAAAAATACATGACTTGGACTTTGTCA